ATGATGATGATGATGATGATGATGATGATGATTATGGTGCCCCGATGATGATGCTGATGATGATGGGATGATGATGATGGTGATGCTGATGGTGTCCCGATGATGATAATAATGATAATGACGATGTTGATGATGATGTTGCTCATGATGATGATGGTGCCCCAATGATGATGATGTTGTTGATGATGATGATGATGTCGATGATGATGATGATGATTGTCGTGATTAACGTCGACGCTGTATTCTGCTGTGCTGCGCTCGTCCGTCGAGCATGATGGCGCCAGCCCGTGCTGGCGAGCGTGTCTGCCGCGCTCTCTGCACAAAAGAGGGGGCCCCCTCCTCGATCCCATACAGCCGCGGAGGCGGCGGCAAAAGAGAGAGTGAGGAAGGAGAGGTTGACTCAAAACTTCGCTCGAGTCGCCTCGGCTCGACATGAGCCTAAAATCCTTCTCAACCGTTCCGACCGAACTGGATCAAAAGAGGGGCCCTGCACAGTACGAATATGAAAAGGAATGATGAGAAAAGAGCCCGACCCTATCCTCAAGATAGGTCGAGAAAAGCTAAAGCGTCGGCGGCCTCGGCTTCAGCGTCTGTAGATGCCTGCGGCTTGTCCTGAGCGAGTTTGTTGGCTCGCTGTCGCTTCCTGGCTGACATGAAGTCCTCATCGTACCTGATGATCCAGGTACGCCGTGCAAGCCACAGAGCCAGAGGCTTCCTTGCCTCGGGACTGTCCTTCGTGAGGCCGTCGGTGAGATTGAGGTCCGAGGGGACCCAAACCAGGTGCTGGTTCTTCTCGGGCCCGCAGTTCGCCTTCACATGTAGAACCTCCACGCCGGTCCTCGCATCGCTCAGGCCGATGCCGAAACTCTCCTTGTTGTGAACTGAATCATAAACTCCTCGGCTGTCGATCACCAGCACCGAGGTCATGGATTGCGCCACCTCCTCCTGAGTGTGCGCGGTGACTGGAACTCCGTGCATGACTGACCACAGCATGCGCATCAGGTACGCCGCGTTCTCGCCGTCGTACAGAGCCTGTCCCTCGCAGCCGTTGGTGCCGATGCCGGTGCGCTTGAGCTTGTACGATCTCCAGTCGGCGATCGATACTGCACATTCCTTCTGCTTGAGGATCTCGGCCGTGGTGAACGCCACGATGTAGCCTCCTCGTTGTAGTAGTCTGCTTGCGTCGACCCACGTCACGATCACTAGGTCGTCCCACTTCAGCTTACCGCCACCGTTGCTATTGAAGTTGTGGAACACCAGGGAATCACGAGCTGTCCGCTTCACATCGCGTATGAGGGCGTTCGTGTCCTTCAGGTCTCCGAACGTCGCCTCGTTCACCCGTTGAGCCAACAGTGACACCCGACATGAGAACTGTGGTGCTGTCTGTGTCGCTCTCCATTGGCATTTCATCAGGCCTGCCCTGAACTGGGTGACGTCCTCCGGCTTGAGCTTGTCATCCTTCGAGAGGTACTTGCCGGACTCGACCCTGATCTCGAGGAGCTGGTGACAGAACTCCTCCTGGCTAGCATGGATCTTGCCCGATGGCTCCTGGGTGATCCACATGCCTGCCCACATGCATGGCGTGCTTCGCCATGGAGACCACCGCAGCATCTCCTTCAGCATGTTCTTCATGTCGAGGTAGAACTTGTTGTCGCTGTCGCCTGCGATGCCAAAGTCGTCCACGTGCGAGCCAATGACCCCGCACACGGTGCCGTTCTGGTCCTGAATGATCCAGATGCATGGCTCGATGAGGACGCTCTTGCCTCCTGCTTCGTGGATCTTGTGGTCCACGTACTTCCAGAAAACCCACGGCGCATTCGTGATCCCGTAGATCGCTGCCAAGACTCTCATGGACTCCTCCTCGTTGATCTGCAAGGCCTGCCGGAGCTCCTTCACGCCCTTCGTGTAGAGCTTCCTCCACTCCTCGGTGTGCCCGGCCTGCAGGAAGGCGGACTTCGCGTCGGCTAGCTCGAAGGTCCAGCCGTGGAAAGCAGCCATCTGGAGGAGTGCCAGCTTCCCTTTTCTTGAAATGGTTGGTGACGCCGTGGGAAGTACCCGATCTCCGAACTTGTCCCGACTGACAAGGTCTGGATGTGAGAAGCCCAACAGAATGATACGGGCCTTCGCCTTGAACTTCCCGTCTGGCGTGCTCACGGGGTGTGGGTCCGACTTGTCCGGTGGTTCAGGTGGTGTCAGAGGCTTCCAGGTCAGTAGCCACCTCATCTTGATCAGCTTGTCCGCTGGAATGTCCTTTCCACGATTGTAGTCAGCGTAAGCCGATGCAGCCCGGACTGTCGGTACTTCCAGATGTTCCGCCAGCTCCCGTGCCATTGCCTCTTGAAACAGTGGCTTCTCCTCGGGGCTCAGGCGGCCAAACGAAACCTCCACACCCTTCTTGACCGTGTTGTTGGCCACTCGGTTCAGCTGCTTCTCCAGGTACGCGCTCGCATCGAAGCAGAACTCCTCCAGGTCCGTCTCGATCTCAATCTTCATTAGGTCCATCTCGGCCTCGTTGTTCGTATCCTGCACGAAGTTGATGATGTCGGTCTCGCTGGCTTCCACATGGTCGCTCGCCGCCTTGAAGAGGGCAGCGTGAGCAACTTCAGCTGAGGCTCTTGATGAAGATGATCTCCCAAAACGCGGTTGGAAAGCTTCAGTCGGTACAGGTGACCACGACACAGTCGGTTGCTTGCCTCTCAATCTTGTTCGCTTAATCTGTGGTGGCTCTGGTGCTGAGTTGTCCTCGTCGACCTCCAGGTCGTCATCTGCCTCCGTGACGTCGTGGGGTTCCACGGCCACATCGGGATTCTCGATCACCCTCGGCATGCCCTCAAGAGGTTGACGTGGTAGCATCCTCATGCCATCTGCCGTTGGGGAGGGCTCCCCGGCGATGTCGTCAAAGTCCTGGAGGTGCCTCCAGACGTCCTCGAGCGGACTGTTGAGGATGTCGTCCTTCTTCAGGTTGATCTGGACGATCTCCGACTGCGTGGCTGGCCGCAGCTGCTCAGCTGCACAGCGCCAGCATCGGTTGCCCATGATGACCCAGATCACGCCGTCCTTGTTGCCTGTCTGGACCGCCGGCTCGGAGAACAGTACTCTGCCCGGTCCGATGAAGAGGCCGTCCGTGAAGAAATCCTGTCCGGAAAGCTTTCGCTTCCCTGTCGCAGCGTACGACCGCCAGACACAGACCCAGTCGCCTCGCTTATATTCATGTCGAGGTCGTGGGGCTGAGTTCTTCAGCTCTGAGATCTTCCTGGACGCCTTCTCCTTCAGGTAAGTCGCCTCTGCATCCGCTCGTACCCGCTCGATCTCGAAGAAGTCGGGCTTCAACTTGCCAGTAGCTGCGTTATGCGCCAAGATTGGGTCCTCGGTGGGAGAGAACCCGAAAGCCCACTGCATCGGCGTGTAGCCCTTGATGTTGTCCATGTTGTTGGCCGCCGCAATCGAGATGTAAAACACGGTCTCGGGACTCAGCTTGGGGTATTGTAGGCGAAGCTTCCTCATTACCTGCTTGACGGTCGAGATGCGGCGCTCGATGTCGCCAGCCATCCAATGTGCTCCTCCTGGTTTCGCTGAGACGCCGATGCCGGCCAACTGGCAGTTGTCTTTAAACTCGCCACCCACAAAAGAGGTCTGAGGATCGACGAAAACCCACCTTGGCTTGGGATAGTGTTGAAGGTAGGCTCTGGCAAACGTCGTGAACAGCGTAGCTGACGAATCTGTGCCCTTATCCTTGAGGCCGATCTTCGCAGTGATGTCCCCGCACATCAGGCCGGTGGCGACCTCTGCGATGAGGAGAAACCTGGCCTTCACATTCAAGTCCGGGAACGTCAGGTCGGAAACGTCCATGACGGCTGCCTGCCAAGGTGCCATGGGGATGTCGAGGCTCGCCTTGACCTTGTGGGTAACGCCGTGCTTGACTAAGTCGCATGCCTCGCAGCGAAGATTGATCGCTTCTTCGATGATCCAGCGTGGACACTGTCGCTTCTTGCACCAGTAAGCCAAGTGCTCGTTACCTGGATGCCCTGCAGCCTTGTGTATCTTGCTCAACATTGCTCGAACCTGTTCCCTTTCGAGATCCGTGGGCTCAGCGACGTAGATGCTCCCGGTGTCCCGCTCCATCAGGTAGGCATTCTCGAGGTCGAGGACAGCAGGGTTCTCCAGGGCCATGTTGAGGTCGACTGGGGTGCGGAGTTGAGCATGCCATAGCCGGGCGATTGCCTTGCACATCGCCTGCGGGTAGTAGGCCGTGGCTGCAGTGTGCAGCTTCCCGCTGATGACTCGGTGACCGTGTGAGTGGTCACACACGGTCGCGACCTTGGAGAACTCCGGGTCGGTGGTCATGATCCTCCAGCCCTTCTCGACGAGCTCGTTAGTGTTGTAGTCCCTGAGGCCGTACATGCACCCGTCGATCCGATCTTCGAAGACGTGTCGTCCCCGACGCCTCAATTCCATACGAAAAAAATTGAGCTCGGGAATCTTCCAGCCTTGACACCTGTGAGGCCACTCGAAGTAGACCTCTCCTCCGTTGTCAACAATCTTTAGCAACAGGAGAACTCCATACTTCACACGTCGTCGGTCTCGAAGTCGGTCTTTCTCTAGGCGTGCACGTGCCTCTGGGGTCTTGTAGTTGAAGTTCGTAAGCGAAGTCCATAGCGTGCATGGTAGCGATATCCAAGCCCGCTTCGGCATCACCTCGTCCAGCTTCTTGCTAGCGGCCTCGAACCCCGCCTTCGTGCTGAGGTTGTAACCGTTCTCGATGCTGATCCGCTCCATGCTGAGGCCGATGTTGGTGCACTCGTCGGTCAGCATGCTGTTGGGATGGCAGCAGATCTCCACCGCCTCGGTGATCGTACCCACGGTCATGGCCAAAGCCAGTCCTGCGAGTAGTGACCTCCGACGTCCGGCCGCCAGAAGCTGCCTCGGCACCCGGCTCAGACTGGCCCGGGTACTGGTTCCGCCATCTGGGCCTTGCGCCTGGGATTCGCTGCCCCCAACATCTCCAGCAGCGCGTCCGGCGCGTGGCGGATCTCGGTCCCGGGAAGCCTCCGAAGAGAGGTGGCGATGTTGATCATCGCAGTCACCTGCTCGTGATTGGCCGTCTCCCACAGGTTGCAGTGCCGCACCAACTCCAGGCCGGACTCCACCAGCTTCGGATGCTGCATGCTGAGGTTCGTCATCGGCGCCTTCGCCGTCGGGACGTAGAGCAACCTCAGCCCGCACCGATAGCATGTCCGGGTCTGGCCCCACTGGTTGTTGACCGTGAAGTACTTGCGATGCGTCTGCCCGCACGGTCCCCGTGTGGTCCTCGGATCGCGGGGGTCCACCTGCAGTGCGAACGCCGGGTCCAGCTCCATCTGCTTCTCCTTCTTGCGACCCTGGTGCGCGTTGCCCGGGTCTCTCTCCTTGACCTTGCCCTCCGAGGTGACATACTCCATCTTCCGGCCGTTGAAGACGAACTCCCGCTTGACCTGGGTCGTAGGTCCGGAGCTCGCTGCCGCCGAAGGTGACTTTACCTCCGGGCCCTCCTCCTTCTTGTCGGCATCTATGTCGACAGGTACCCATTCGTCCTTGCCCTCCATGGAAACGCTCTGACTGAAACGTCGGCTTGCGGATTGCCGAAATCCGCTCTGAGCGGGTTCCAGAGCCAAAAGACGGCGGAGGATGGGATGACCATGATGGAGCTGCTCTCCCTGTTATGGTGGATGGAGGTGATGTTGCTGTTATCAATGATGGTGTTGTCGTTAGGGCCGTATATACTGATGATGGTGTCGTTCTCATCTGAGATGATGCTGATAATGTCGTTCTTGTTTGAGATGGTGCTGATAAAGTCGTTCTTGTCCGAGATGATGCTGATAATGTCGTTCTTGTCTGAGATGATGCTGGTGATGTCGTTCTTGTCTGAGATGATGCTGATGGTGGTGATGTGGTCTTTGTCATCGACCATCTCTGAAACGCCCTTGCAAGACCCTCGGTGTTTTTCGCGGTCGGGTTTAAAATCTCGGAAACGTGCTTCACCAGGTCGAGGATGCAATGGCCCTTGCCTGGAGTCTTGCGAAGCTGCACCAGTTGACCCCTGATCACAGCCTCCCCGGTTCGGAAATTCACGATTGCCGGCCACGACTCCAGAGCGGTCATTCCCAACAGAACGAGAGGCACGCCAGGACTGAGAGCAAATACCCAGAACGAAGCCCGGCTCGAACTCGACCGAAACCTTATACAGTGCTCTGCCCCACTTATTGTCTCCGAAACGAAACCACGGTCTTTCATTTTTGTTGATCTCGATCCTGGCCTGTGGGTTCGCAGCCGCAACGGCGGCAACCAGGGCCTGGACTGCGCGCTCGCCTCCGGCGGACGCGGAAGCCCCGCAATCAACCATGGCCTCAGAAGGGGCGAGGCCGCTTGTCTTTTTTGTTAATTTTTTTATTTTTTTTTTTTTTTTTTTTTTTTTTTTTTTTTTGTTTTTTTTTTTTTTTGTTTTTTTTGTTCTTTTTTTTTTTTTTTTTTTTTCTTTTTTTTTTTGTTATTTTTTTGTTTTTTTTTTTTTTTTTTGTTTTTTTTTTTTGTTTTTTTTGTTATTTCTTTTTTTTTTTTTTTTTTTTTTTTTTTATTTTTTGTTTTTTTTTTTCTTTTTTTTTTTTTAGTCTTTTTTGTTTTTTTTTTTTTCCCTTTCTTCTTTTTTTTTTGTTTTTTTTTTTGTTTTTTTTTGTTTTTTTTTGTTTACTTTTTTTTTTTTTTTTTTGTTTTTTTTTTTGTGTTTTTTTGTGTTTTTTTCTTTTTTTGTTTTTTTTTTTTTTTGTCGTTCAGCTCCGCCTGGTACAGACCCTGGAGCTCGTCAAACCCGTGCGTGATCGTGTGGAACTCCAGGTAGTTCGCATTCTTGCCCTTCTGGTCGTGGTCCCTGTCGCGGTACTTGCTGCCTTTGCCGCCCTTGCTGCCCTTGCTGCCCTTCGGGCCTCGACCACCGAATGGCGGTCTCGAGGGCTGCTGGTGTGGCCACGACGGGGGAAAGCGACTCTTTCCTCCTGGACTCGATGATGGCTTGCCAAATCCTCGATCTTTGTGAGCGGCGGCCACTGCTTGCCTGGCTTGAACCAGTGTACGTGAAGCCTCTGCTGCCATCGCCTGGGCCGCCTCGAGCTCCTCGTTGAGATGGTTGAGATCCTCGTCCATGGCCTCGGACTCCTCTTGCTCTGAGGCGAGCTGCGGCTCCTCCACGACGTCGTAGTCGTCCTCGTTCTCGTGGTGGTCGTAACCGTCGTTCTCCCACGCCTGAACTGCCGCTGCGTAGCCGTCGTACCAGTCAGGTCCGTGTACGTCGTCAAACTCTGCAACGAGGGCCGACTGAGGGCTCGACTCCGGGCCGTACCGAGGCATAGCCCTTGGTCCGAAGTCCCGCTGCACCAGCGCCTTGTCCTCCCATCTCTCCTTCAAAGCCTTGGAGACTGCATCGAAATCCAAGCGGTTCTGCGTGACCACGCGTACGTCCTGCTTCTCCTT